GAAACCCTGCCCCATCAGGGAAGCTACGAAAATGCAGAGACAACAAAATAGATCACAAACGAAAGAAATGGAGGACAAAAAGCGACTGGTTATAGAGTTCAAATCTACGCTTAAAAGGTTTTTCAAGAATTTCCTAGAAAAGGTCAATAAGACCTATGAGGATATGAAAAGGGATCAACTAGAATTAATAAAGAATCAACAAGAAATGATAAGGGATCAACAAGAAATAAAGAATATGTTGTCTGAAATAAAAAATATTGCCGGGACCGGTTTGGCTCAGTGGATAGAGCGTCGGCCTGCGGACTGAGAGGTCCCGGGTTCGATTCCGGTCAGGGGCATGTGCCTTGGTTGCAGGCACATCCCCAGTGGGGGGTGTGCAAGAGGCAGCTGGTCAATGTTTCTCTTTCATCGACGTTTCTAACTCTCTATCCCTCTCAATTCCTCTCTGTGTAAAATCAATAAAATATATTAAAAAAAATATTATACAGAGTCCTAAAAACAGAATGGAAGATCGCAAGAATCAAGTCAAAGATTTGGAACATAAAGAGCCAGAAGACACTCCTCCGCAGAAGCAAGAAGGCAAGAGAATTCAGAAAATTGAAGATAATCTAAGAAATCTCTGGGACAACTTCAAGCGAACCAACAGCAGAATTATGGGGGTCCCAGAAGATGAGAGAGAGCAAGATATCGAAAACATACTGAAAGAAATAGTGACAGAAAACTTCCCCCACCTGGTGAAAGAATTAGACTTACAAGTTCAGGAAGCGCACAGAACTCCAAACAAAAGGAATCCAAAGAGGACCACACCAAGACAAATCATAATTAAAATCCCAAGAACAAAAGACAAAGAGAGAATATTAAAAGCAGCAAGAGCAAAGCAGGTAGTTACCTATAAAGGAGCACCTATATGATTGTTAACTGATTTCTCAACAGAAACCATGCAGGCCAGACGGGAATGGCAAGAAATATTCAAGGTGATGAATAGTAAGAACCTACAGCCAAAAATACTCTATCCAGCAAAGCTATCACTCAGAATCGAAGGCCAGATAAAGAACTTCACTAATAAAAAAAAAGTTAAGGAGTTCATCACCACCAAACCAGAATTATATGAATTGCTGAAGGGGGTTCTTTCGGAAGAGAAAATAAATAAAGATAAAAATTATGAACAACAAATATGTAATTATCAACAAGTGAATCTAAAAACCAAGGAAATTTAAAAAAAAATCTGATGAACAATATTAACTGTTGAATATAATAGAATCAGAGGTATGGAAGGGAGTGAACTGACGATTCTTGGGGAAAAGGGGAGAGGGAGATGTTGGAAGAGACTGAACATAAACTGCACCTATGGATGAGGACAATGGGGGGTGGGGAAAGGGCAGAGGGTGGGGGTGGGAACCTGGTGGAGGAAAGCAATGGAGTGGGGAGGGGAAGGAACATTTGTAATAATATGAACAATAAAAATTTATTAAAAAAAAAAGAAAAGAAAAAGAGACATTGATTGGTTGCCTCCCGCAGTGCCCTGACCGGGACCTGGGATAATTGAAACTGCAACCTAGGTACATGCCCTTGACCAGGAATCGAACCCGAGACCGTTTGGTGTGTGGGATGATATTCCACCTTCTGAGCAACACCAGTCAGGGCAGGATGGGCATTTTTTAAGTTAGTTCCAAGTCTGCCTTTAAAGTAGTTGTACGTACATTCCCACCAGTGTTTGTGAGATCCAGTTACTCTATCGTCTCACCAACACTTTATGGTTTTAGTTCTATTTCTTTGATGACCAGAGAAGCTGAGTGTTGATTGGCCATTTAAAAGGTGCCTGTTTGAATACTTTGCCCATTTTTCTGTTGGGCTATCTTTTTCTTTTGACTTGTAATTTTTTTTTCTTTTTCTTTTTCTTTTCTTTTCTTTTTTTGTAATTTTTTATATGCTCTGGATACAAGTCTTTTACATACCTACGCACACATTCTCCAACCTCCCATTTCACTCTCTTAGTACTGTCTTTTGATAAAGAGAATACTTTTAATTTAGTCCAGTTTGTCAACTTTTTTCATTATGGTTGGTAGGTTTGTATTGTTGTTTTTCACTTATTTATTTATTTATTTTTATTTATTTATTTTTTGTTGTTGTTTTTCTAATATATTTTTATTGATTTTATAAAGAGGAAGGGAGAGGGAGAGAGAAAGAAACATTGATGATCGAAACATTGATGATGGCTGCCTCCTGCTGGAGATCCAGTCCACAACCCGGGCATGTGTCCTGACCAGGAATCAAACCAGCACCTTTGGTGCACGGTAGAATGCCCAACCAACTGAGCCACACTGGGCAGGGTAGCGCTTTGTGTTTCAGAAATGCCCACGGTGTCACATCCTCTGTGTCCCAGGACCTACCTGGAGGAGGAGCTGGTGAAGGCTCGGGAACGGCCCCGGCCCCGCAAGGACATGTATGAGAAGATGGTGGCTGTGGACCCCAAGGCCCCCACCCCTGAGGAGCACGCCCAGGGTGCCGTCACCAAGCCTCGCTACATGCAGTGGAGGGAGACTGTGAGCTCAACCTCCACGCTGGGCTTCCGCATTGAGGGCATCAAGGTGAGGTCCAGGAGCTGCTAGCCTGTCGCTTGAGGACTATATCTAGGCAGGGCTACTAAGGGAGCACGGGTGTCAGGAAAAACAGGAAAGAGAGTAGGAGACTGCAGAAAAGATGGGGCTAGGAGAGGTCCTGCTCCTCTCACCCCACATCCATCAGTGACCAAGTGCTGTTCATCCCTCTGCCTGAGCATCTCGAGTCGCCTTCTTTCCTCCCATGGCCCTGTCCTAGTCTGGCCCTGTTTTCTGCTCAGCCTCCTCTGATCATCATCCAACACATCAGCTGGAGCGATCCTTTTTCCCCCTCAGGGAGATTTTTCTCTTTCCTTTCTTCCTTTTTTTTTCTTTTTGTAAATTAAATCTAATTTTTTAAATAAGTAGTCACACCATTCAAAAGTCAAAATTATGTTATAAAAGGGTGTGCAGAGGAAATCTCTGCTGATCCTGTGGCTGTCCTTCCCATTCTGTCCCTCTCCCCACCTCACCCCCCACCTACTCTCAGGGAATCACTTTATAAGTATCTTATTTCTCTTCCTGCAAATGCACACAAATTCAATTGTATATCCTAAAAATTCCACCCTTCTTGACACAAAAGATGGCATATCATCTCATAGAGAGTTTTCTCTTCCTTTTTTTTAAATTATTTTTTTTAATTAAAAAAAATATATTTTATTGATTTTTTACAGAGAAGAAGGGAGAGAGATAGTTAGAAATATCGATGAGAGAGAGTTATTGATCAGCTGCCTCCTGCACGCCCCCTAATGGGGACGTGCCCGCAACCAATGTACATGCCCTTGACCGGAATTGAACATGGGACCCTTCAGTCCGCAGGCCGACGTTCTATCCACCAAGCCAAACCGGTCATGGCCTTTTTTTTTCTTGAACTGTAATAGCTTTTTGTGGATGTGCCATAGACTCCTATAGATGGCCACCTGGGTTGCTTCCATTTTTTGTCATTACAAAAACACCTCAATGGATCACTTAGAACAACCAGTAAGGCATTTTGCAAGCATGAGATTTAGCTGTAGACTAGATTCCCAGAAGCAGGACAACTGAGTCAATGATGAAATGCATTGGGAATGTTGCTAGAGGTTGCCGAACCCATTCCATAAGTGTGTTATTGTGCACTCCACCAGCAATTTTTGAGAGTGCTTCTTTCCCCATAGCCTCCTCGGATAGAAGTCTATCCGGGTGTGTCATTTTCCTATTTGAAACTCTTCAATGGCTCCCTAGAGCCCTTAAGAGATGTTCCCTGACCTAGAGGACCCTCCACCATCTAGCCTCAATCCTCATCCCTCTCTTCCTCCTTGTTTACCTTCAGGCTACAGTGAAGCTTCATTTCCTTGAAAGGGTCGTGGCCTCTGCACTTTCTGTTCCCTCTGGCAGGACTGTTCTTCCCTCTTCTTTTCTCCCAGTTGGCTTCCAGTCATTTTTCTGTCTTTCCACTTCCTCCACACCTCCTCATAACTCCATTACTCCTTCATTATTCTTTTTTAAAAATATATATTTTATTGATTTTTTTACAGAGAGGAAGGGAGAGAGATAGAGAGCCAGAAACGTCGATGAGAGAGAAACATCGACCAGCTGCCTCCTGCACATCCTCCACCGGGGATGTGCCCGCAACCAACGTACATGCCCTTAACCGGAATCGAACCCAGGGCCTTTCAGTCCGCAGACCGACGCTCCACCACTGAGCCAAACTGGCCTCGGCTCCTTCATTATTCTTATCTCCCTTTGTGATGTTCTAATTCAATATCTGTCCCCCTCATCTGACTGTGTCTGTCCTGTTACCACCATGTTAGCAGTGCCCACTTGGTACCTGGCACAGCATGACAGTACGACTCAAGTGGTCCTCTCAGAGATAAAAAATAACAGTACTTATTGAGTGCTTGCTTACTATGTGCCAAGCACTGTGCCATGCATCCTACATACCCAGTCTCCTCTATTCTGAACAGCTTTAGCACAATTCCCATTTCCTAGATGAAGAAACTAAGGTTGAGACAGATAAAGTGACTTGTTTAAAGCCACCCAGCTAGGAAGTAGCAGAGACACAATTCAAAGCCAGATTTACCCCTTCCAGAACACATCTGGCTAGACTGGCTCAACCAGGGGGTGCAGGTTAGACTTGGGAGGACTAGCTGCTCAGGAGTGTGACTTGGGGCTGGTTTGATCTGAGCTGGGCAGGTGGGCTGGCTTCTGTGAACAGCAGGTGAATGTGGAGGCAGGCAGGTGGCCCCAGGAAGTGCCTGCGGCTGGTTGGTGTCGGGCATGGGAAGGAAAGTTATGACACTGGACCTTCAATCTTTGTCCTGCAGAAAGCCGATGGGACCTGCAACACCAACTTCAAGAAGACACAGAAGCTAGAGCAAGTGACAAAGGTGTTGGAGGACTTTGTGGATGGGAACCTTGGAATCCTGGTGAGTGGGACACCGTGCCCCCGACTTAGCAGTTCAGGGCCACCACTGTCACTGTTGCCCCTGTATTTTGCTTAGGGCTGAGGTTGGCTGGTACTGGGTGGTGTTGTTCACCATCCGGGTCAGTGGGTGGCTGGGCCGGAGCTGGATTTCTAGGATTGCCTGCCCCTGTATCTGGTAGCCTCGGGTGATGACTCCTCCCCTTGTCAGGCTAGTCTGGGCTGTTCTCACAGTGGAAACCCGTGACCAAGAGAACAAACGGAAATGCAAAGCCTCTTGATGGCTAAGACACCCTCATTTCTGCCATGTTCTGTTGGCCAAAGCAAGTTATGACCAAGCCTAGAGTAGAGGGTAACAGACTCCACCTCTTTATGGGAGGAGCTGCTGGGAGTTATGGGTATTCATGTAATCTACTAACCTTACCCTTGTCTGTGCCACCCCTATGTTTCCAACCTCACCTCCCGTTTTCCCCATGGCTCCCCTTTTTCCCTCCTGGTCGGGTACGGGATGAGGCCAGATCTCAAATGGGGAAGGACCCACACAGTCCCTGTGCTAACCAAGAAACTCTCCCCCTCAAACAGAGAAAGTACGTGGCACGCCTAGAAGAACTCCGAGAAGCTCTGGAGAACTCCCCCTTCTTCAAGACCCATGAGGTGTGAGTCCCGGCCCCCAGGGGAGAGAGGGTCCTGTGTATGTGTGAGGTGGAGGTGGGTTGGGGTCCAGGTTGCCCTGAGGAAAAATCTCTGGCAGAATTAAGGCTAAAGCAGTTTAAAAGGAGACCTATGTTTTGGGGTGTGCCTTTTCAGAGTAGGCAGCACAGGGGATCTCAGGGAGCATGGACTCAGCCAGGCGGCCTGGGATGAGGTTGGCTCTGCTCTGTGACCTCTCAGGCCTCAGTTGCCTCCTAAGATAGGGAGGAACCATATCTTCCTTACAGGCTGCTTCCTTACAGGTGTGAGACTAGCAACTGTTGAACACCATTTGGAGCATAAAAGCACATTTAACCCCTACCTCTTACAATTACTTTATAATCATAATTATTTACAACTAGAAGCCCTGCACATGAATCTGCCAGCTGCCCGGCCCTACTGTAGATCCCCTCTACCTCACTCCAGCAGGCTAGTCTGGGCTGTTCTCACTGTGGAAGTTGCCCTGTCCCCTTGTGTAGCTCTCCGCCCCACCCTCCTGCTGATCCCCACCCTCCTGCTGATCGCTGATCTGGTCTGTATGCCTCAGGGCGTAATGGATAATTAGCATATTCCTCTCATATAGGATTGTTGTTACCTGAATTCGTGGTTCAGTGGTTCTCTCCCTCCCGCAGCAGCCTGTCTCTTTGAAAGGGCTCCTCTCTTTGGGGCTGTCTCAGAAAGTCTGGGAAGTGGTGACAGCATCCTGTGCATCCTCTCCTCCCCTCCTCTGTCCAAGCTCTTCCCTCCCCACGCCCAAGCCCTCCACCTTCTCCTGGCTATCACTAACTTCTGGGAGAGCCCTGATCTGAGAGTCAGGCTGGCCTGGGTTTGGACCCCAGTTCTGCAGGCCTACCTACTGACCTGCAGGATGGAATAACGGAGTGCCTGCCTCCTAGGCAACCTGAAGGTTAAGGGATTAAACAGGGACAGTGCAGCCCATAGTAAACCTTCAGTATGTGCAGCTGTTACTGCCATGTCTCTTATCAAACTTCACCCTCATTGTCATTGTCACGGCCTTTGGGCTTTACACACAAGTCTCAAAGAGGAGGCCTGGGGAGCTCATCTCATCTGTCCTGGTGCTTGGTTTCACCTGCTTGGTGACTTAACTTTTTAAAAAATATATTTTTTTATTGATTTCAGAGAGGAAGAGAAAGGGAGAGAGATAAACATCAATGATGAGAGAGAATCACTGATTGGCTGCCTCCCGCATGCCCCTTACTGGGCATCTAGCTGGCAACCTAGGCATGTGCCCTTGACCGGAATCAAACCCTGTGCCTTTCAGTCCGCAGGCCAATTCTCTATTCACTGAGCCAGCTAAGGCATGACTTTACATTTTAAAAGACAAGTTGCTGGCCAAAACTGGTTTGGCTCAGTGGATAGAGTGTTGGCTGCAGACTGAAAGGTCCCAGGTTCGATTCTGGTCAAAGGCATGTACCTTGGTTGCGGGAACATCCCCAGTGGGAGGTGTGCAGGAGGCAGCTGATCAATGTTTCTCTCTCATTGATGTTTCTAACCCTCTATCCCTCTCCCTTCCTCTTTTTAAAAAAAAAAAAAATCAATAAAATATATTTTAAAAAAAATAAAAAATAAAGGTAAAAGATGAGTTGCCAACATTTAAAACGTGGGCCTTCCCACCAAAATCAGGGTTTCCAGTTTCCCTTGGCACATTGGGAGATGTGGCAACACCAGGCCACTCGCCACATGTCAACAGCCATTTAGAGCAGGCAGCATCTGCTTCTCCTCAGAGGCGCCCACTCGCCTGCCCCATCATCTAGGTTCCCTGGCTCCAGGGAGTGCAGTTTGCAGTTGGTTAGGAACAGGGAAGGGTTTGCAAATGTGGACTTAGATGAAGGCAAGGAAACTGCTATTTCTCATTAGAAAAACAAAACCAGCATCTCTGAGGGCTACATCCCAGCCTCACAGGCACGTGGTAAGTGTGTAGATCAAAGAATGCTGCCAGTGACCCCAGGAAGTAGGGCTGTGTGTCGTCCCCCCTTCCCCCCATTCTATAGATGAGGAAACCGAGGTTTGGAGAAAGGAAGCCACTTGTCTGGGGTTATCAGCAGCAATTCGCAAGTGGAAAGCATGATCTACTTTCTTAGTCCCCACCGGCTCTCCTGATCCATTCAGGATCCTGCAGGCATTCGAGTTTATGCTCAGTTTGAGGAACAATACCAGTTAACATGTGTTGTGCATTTGCTATTTTGCAAGTGTTCTAAGTGTTTTATATGATTAATTCATACATGTAATGTGCACAGCAACCTTACAGGTAAATGGCACTATTATTCTATTATTCCCACTTTGTATATTGGGAGGCAGAGTCAGAGAGGTTAAGCCACCTGTCCAAGGCATAACAGCCTATAAGTAGCAGAGCCAGGATTTGAACTCAGGCAACCTGGTTCCACAGTACATGAGGTCAGCCACCCTGCTCAGATGCCCCTTGGGGAGGAGACACTGGCCAGTGCTTTGCCCCTAACCTCCTGTCTGCCTCCTTGCAGGTGGTGGGCAGCTCCCTTCTCTTTGTGCATGACCACACTGGCCTGGCCAAGGTTTGGATGATCGACTTTGGCAAGACAGTGGCTCTGCCTGACCTTCAGACACTCAGCCACCGGCTGCCCTGGGCTGAGGGTAATCGTGAGGACGGCTACCTCTGGGGCCTGGACAACATGATTCGCCTTCTTCAGGGGCTGGCCCAGAGCTGACCTGCTTGCCTTCTGCGAGGATTCTTTATTGGATGGTACCCAGCTGGCTGGAGGAGGCCTGAGGGGTGCAGGGGCCTGAGTTCAGCCATGGAGGCACACCACTCAAGCCCAGTGTGGAAGATCTGAAGGGCCCAGTAGACCAAGTAACACCCAGCCCTTTTATGATCCAGGGGTTGTAAGGACTGGAGAGGGGACATGACATGGCTGGGTCCCACTGTGGGTCAGAACCAGACAGGGTCCTCTGACCAGCCAGGAAGGTTCCAGAGGGGCTGCTGAAGGCCACAATAACCCATACATCCTGAAAGAACATTCAGATGCTGTGGCTACAGGTCTGACACATGCCTGTCATGACAGGAATGACTGATCACTACTCCTTGTCAGCCCCCTCCGGCTACAAGCTGGCTCTGATGCCAGGGACCAATCCGCTTCATCTGTGGTGCCCCAGGACCAGACCTCATTTGTGAGCCAATGAGGAGCTGCCTGTCTGCCTGGGAGCATGATGGTCCCACCTCTTCTAGGGGCCCTTCAGGTGCTGAGAAGGGTGTGACACCATGGGACCGGCCTGAGAGCTGACGCTGCTGAGCAGAGCCCATTCACCCTGTCCTGCCCTCCCATGGCCTCATGGGATCCTTCCTGCTCCTGGAAGAGCTTTGCTGACCGGCTGCAGACCAAAACCACGGCCACATCCTGTGCCAGCACTGACCAACACAACCTCATTCCTCTGGCACCACCTCAGCTTTGGGACTTCCTCCCCTTACCCTGTTAGGTCCCCTTCCTCCCTGCTGACTGAGGTGCAGGGGCAGGGAAGCTGGCTCGGGAACCAGAGCTGCCTGCCTTTGGTGGCCTGCACCCCACGGCCCCTGCCTGAGAAGTGCCCTGCTGAGTCAGAGGCTGAGAGTGGAGGGGCTGCTGGCTGTGACCAGCACACCCTGGTCCAAACCAAAGCCCCTCTTCCTTCTCCTCCTGTACTTTTAACTGGCCTCCTGGCCCTCAGGGCTGGGCTGGGGAGGACAGGCAGCTCTCTTTCTGGGTCAAAACTCTAATGTAGTCTTCCAGGGCTCAGGAGGCCTGTTCCTTTTCTATGGACCTTTATACTTATTTATACAAGAGAGACAGGTAGTTGTTAGATGGGGCAGTGCTGGGGAACAGGAGGCAACATCGCTTCACTGCCTTCCCCCCACGACGACCCCTAATAAACAGAACATTCAAAGCCAACTTTGTGGATTTTTTTTTTTTTATGGGCTCAAAGCTCAGGACAGTGATGGGTTTGGGGTACAGATGAAGGCTTGGAGTGCTCACTGAGCTGCTCCTCTTGGGCCTCACTGCTGGATAAGGCAGGATAACTGTGGTGACCAAGACAGTGCCCACCCTCCCAGGACAGTTCACCAGAGGGCCAGTCACTGCTGTCAGGGCTGCGAAGGGGAAGTGCAGGTGGAGGGATTAGGGCTGGGATTGAGGATTCCCCTCTTCTGGTTAGAAACACTAAAAAACAAAAAGCACTATACTTATACCATATAGTCTCTCTAAAGCCCCTTTGTACTGAAGACATGGCAGCCATCAACGCTGATCTGTTCCTCCCCTTTCTGAGGGGAGGCAACAGGTATTAATTAAACTAATCTCTCTCTAAAACTACGTACCTATTTATCTAGATACTAGTGCCCCTGTGCATGAAATTCGTGCACATTAAAAGGGAATTAGAGGAAATGCTTTAATATTGCTACTTGCCCTTTTTCTATAATAGAAGTGTCAGAGATTAAAGAAAATTAGTAAAATGTATATGAAAACCTGCCTCCTGTCAGAGTCTGGGGCACACCATAGGACCCAGAGTCAAGTCCCCGCCCACTTGTGTGCGCCTCAAAATTGTACGAGACCCAGACCCAGACCCAGTTGGCCCTACCCCCAATGGATGAAATCCAGACTTGGCTGGTCCCATCCCCGTCAAGCCCCACTGGGCAGAGGGCGCAGCCTCAGTCCCCCAGCCAATGCCAATGGTGAGGCCTCAGGTCCCCTGCCCCCGCCTCTGCCCCAGCACCAGGGTGGGGGGTGCACCTTGAGATCCCCCATCAAGCCCTGCCAGGGTGGGGGGGTGCAGCCTGAGGACCCCCGACCTGGCACCAGGGCAGGGGGTGTGGCCTGAGGTCCCCTACCTCAGAGCCATGCAGCCTCAAGTCCCTGCTGATCAGTTGTTATGGGAACCCCCCCTCCACTGTGGGCGCAGTCATCGTGCAACATGAGGGTTAATTTTCATATTACCTCTTTATTATATAGGAGGACTTATATCTGTGTAGGTATTATCTGCCTGATTCGAATCCTGACCCTGCCATTTGCCAAGCTATGTGACCTTAAGCCTGTGACTGTACTCCTCTAAGCCTTAGTCTCTCCATCTGTAAAATGGGGAGGACCTTGTACCTTCCTTACAGGACTTACAGGAAGATTTAATGAGTTAACACAGGTACGGTAAAGGGGTTGGCACATTTAACTGTTCTTAGAAACATTTCCTGTTTTTAAAGAAGAACAGAGGTGGGGAAGGGGCTTAATCTTGGCTGAGGGAACCTTCCTTGAGGAAGTGATAATGAGTCAAGATGGTGTAGGGGTTCAGACCAAGTCACCCCAAGACGTGCCTCTGTGGTATGTGGGTTGTTTTGAGCTAGGGCAACCAAGACACCACATGCTCAATGAAACCTCTGCCCCACCCACCCTTAACTACCTAGAAGAATTTGAATTCGAGGGCTAGCTCATAAAGACTGAGATAACCTTTTCAGACCTATCTATAGGGCAGGGTAAACTAATTGCTGAACATCTGCTCTTATCATCCCGTAATGACCTCCCTCCCTCTGAAGCCCCATAATTATCCTTAGTTCAGAATGGCATATTTGCCTCATTTTCCCTGTCTTGATTTTTTTTTTTTTTTTTTAAATATATTTTATTGATTTTTTACAGAGAGGAAGGGAGAGAGATAGAGAGCTAGAAACGTCGATGAGAGAGAAACATCGACCAGCTGCCTCTTGCACACCCCCTACCGGGGATGTGCCCGCAACCAACGTACATGCCCCTGACCGGAATCGAACCTGGGACCTTCCAGTCCGCAGACCGCCGCTCTACCACTGAGCCAAACCGGTTTCGGCTTCCCTGTCTTGTTTTAACGTTAAAACATTCAAATCTGTAAAGAATTTTTGTGAGTTTATTTGAGCCAACCTGTAGACAACTGCTGGGAAGCAGAATTTCAATGGATTGGGATAATGCTCCAGAGAATAGTTTTAATCTATTTTTATATATTGCAGTCAAAGGAGGGGATTTAGGTGGGTTACATGAAATCCACTGAATGATAGATTAGAGAGGCGGGAGAAAGCAAACCAGGGAAATTTCTGGAATTGGATAAAAAGTAAAATGATAAGGCACTTAGGTGGTGCAAGATAGTTAACAGTCAACAATTAAGATGATAACAATAACAAGGACATTTATGGTACCCAGAGCATTTGGTTGAGCCTGAAGGGCCGGAAAAAAGAAGTTACAAGTTACTCTGACATTTCAAGGATATGTTATCATAGATGCAAAAAGACAGATAGGCAGTTAAAGGTTGACCTTGTCAGTGAAGATACCTGCCCAGGACATAGCTACCCATCATAATTGCTCTTAAAGTTTAATTTCAGGTCATCTTTGTGTTACTTTAGGTCTCTGAGTTTGCAAGACTGCCATGCAGGCCTTCAGTTTGTCAGGTTAGCATGTGCCCCTTTTGTCCACACTTGGTATCTCTCGTGCACGTGGGGGTTTGTATGTATTAAATTTGGTTACTTTCTTGATAACCTGTCTCATGTAACCTCCTGAGAACAGATGAAGGAACCTTGAGGGGAAAGTGTGTCCCTCTCCCACACTGGGAAGTTGAGTTCTGGTCAGCAGAGGGCTGCAGCGGGGTTGCACCAGGAACCTAAAAGGTCAGTGTGGCTGGTGGCAGGAAGTGTGAGGAGGAACAGCCTGGGATAAGGAGAGGTGAGCTGGGCTGGGAGAACAGGACTGTGAGGAAACAAGAAGCTGCTAGAAGTTTCTCTGGAGGAGAACTAGTTTGCTTTTTTGGTGTTCTCTCAGCCCTGACCCCATGTGAAGATTCTGGGGGCAGCAGGGAGCCCAGTGAAGCTCTTGCAGATGTCCAGAGAGATGTGGATGGTTCAAAAGAGGGGGGCCACCAGTGAAACGAATGGATGCAACATTTCAGGGGGTGTGGACGAGACACAGGGTCTGAGCTGTAGTCACTCTCTCCCCTGAAAGAGGGAGCTTGTCTTGCTTCTGGCTCTAACCTCAGCCCACAGAGTAGGTGTTCAATTCTGAGGGGATGCAGGAGCTGGAGGCTCAGTGGATACAGCGTCGGCCTGCAGACTGAAAGGTCCCAGGTTCGATTCCGGTCAAGGGCATGTACATTGGTTGTGGGCACATCCCTGGAAGGGGGTGTGCAGGAGGCAGCTGGTTGGTGTTTCTCTCTCATCAATGTTTCTATAATAACTCTCTATCCCTCTCCCTTCCTCTCTGTAAAAAATCAATAAAATATATTTTTTTAAAAATGGAGTGGAGGGGATCCTGCAAAAACGACCTCTGGCTGAAGGTCCATTAGAGATCCAGCCCAAACCCTGGAGTGGTTACACAAAGGGAGAAGCTGGGGTCTGGGTTCTATCACCTCCAGTTCAGGACAGCAGCAGGCTAGGGACTGGAGTCCTGTGGTCTGAGGAGCAGGGCCTGGCCACAGAGGCCAGCTCGCACCCCACCAGCAGGAACCACATACTCCTGGCCATCAGCGGCCCGAGAGGGGGAGAAGTCCGTCAGCTGTAGGTTGCTATCCTGGACTTGGTCGTAGTCCCACAGCTGGTAGTGCCAACTCTTGCCCTGCTTGGAAAGAAGGTAGACTGCTCCCAGCGAGCCTTCCTCTGGCAGGGATGGCAGTTGGTGGGGCATGCTGGGCACTGGGTGAAACAGGCCTGGCAGCTCAGGGTCCTCAGCGTAGCCGGGGCTTGGCACGCCCCGAACACCCAACAGGACCCCTGCGAGGAGAGCGGGAGGCTGTGAGTGGAGGCTGAGTCCTGATGAGCTGGGGCTCACTGTTTCCCCCCACAGCCTTCCAGGGAAGGTGCTCCCCAACACTAAGAGAAATCAGTGGCGGCCACCGGGCACACAGACGGGCTGGGATTTGGAGCCGGTGTGTCTGGCTCCAGAACTTCAGGCATTTTAAGTCCTGCCTCCTACAGCCTGTCAGCACTGGGAGGTGGAGAGGAGACATTAACCAGAGCAAACATTGTCACCCCGTCGTCTCCAGCTGCCCAGGTGGGAGACGCTGGGAGTGCAGCTCTCAGGCCAGCGCCAGGAGAGGGCTGAGCAGAGACTTGATCCAGGCCACCTGATGGACACAAATCCATCCCTTTTTCCAGGCAGGTGGGATGACGACAATGCTAGTCACGGCTAATGCCTACTGAGATGTGCAATGTGCCAGCCACCACCGTTCTAAGGGTTTCCCTTGCTCTGCCAACAAGGAAGCCCTATGAGGTGGGTACTACTGTTGCTTCAATTTCTAGATAGGCCCGTGGAAGCCCAGAGCCAGAGCTGGAGGTGACAGGACTGGCCGGGAGTCCAGAATGTTTGATCCAAAAGTCTGCACACTGAGCATGTTTGGCAGATTCTGAGGTACCTGCTACCTGCCGGGTCCTGTCTTGAAGAGTACTGGGGAGGTGCCAGAGCCAGGGCGAGAACGTGGGGGGGGGGGGGGGGGGCTGGGGAGATCCAGGGTGAGAACACAGGTTCACAGGGGAGGGAACCCACCTGTGCTCACTGCCCAGTGGGCCTTGTGGCCCTTCCGCCGACAGGGTTCATGGTTGAAGTCTTCATCGTAGCTGATGCTGGGGTTAAGGCCAAAGCTGTGATATGGCCCTGGGGCCCGCGCTTTTCCACCCCACCCTGTTCCCTTCATGTCCTGGGATACGGGATGAGCAAGGGGTGTCCAGAGACAAGGTGCTGCAGCACACGGCCTTTGTTGGGACCACCCAGGCCCCCACGGAGCAGCTCAACTTGGCAGCCTAATGCCTCCTCAGCCAGCCTGCCCATGTTGGCCACTGCATGGACAGAGCACACAGAGAGCAGGGGTCACTCTGTGCTTCTCACCGTATCAAGGGGTCCCTAGGGAGCGATGCCTCTCAGCTTTCCTGTGACCATGAGAAGCATAGAGAGGGTCAGGGTCCAGGGCCACATAGTAGGAAGTGGCAGAGTTGGGCTGGGAACCCAGACAGCCTTGCTCCAGAGTCTACCTTGTAACACTGGGTTGGGGGAAGGGCCTGAAGATTGGAAGAAGGCCCTCCCATACACCTGGCAGTGTCTCACCCAGCCTTTCAAGTCCATTCCTAGTGAAGAAGGCCAGACTTGCACCCAACTCACCGGAGAACATCTCTCCCTGGGCCGTGTAGCCTTTCTCCACGGCCATGTGCACGAGTCTCTCCAAGGGGATGCCGCTGGGGGGTACCAAGAGAGTGCCTGCCATCCACAGGGCCACCAGCCCACACCTAGAAGAGACAGGCCCAGCCCCTCAATCCCTAAGTCAGGTCTTTATGGCCCCTCTCTGCCCTGGAAGCTGGAGTGTGGGGAACAGAATGGCTGCCCTGGGGGAGTTCCCTAATCACGCAGGGAGATCTGATACTCTTTCATGGCTGAGGCTGACCAAGTACTGAAGATGAGGGAAAGGGGTGGGGGTGGGGGTGGAGGGTGGGGAGATGTCACCTGGGATTCCAAGATGAGTAGTTGCCCAAGTAGAGTTAGAGATAATGGACCAGGTCCATTTATTCACTCACTTGTTCACTGATTCCAACTCCATTTACTGTGCATGTGCCCAGGACCCCCTTTCCCCTCCCCAAGCTGCTGAGATGAAATGAACCCACCCCTCCCACCCTCCTGGATCAGTCCTCATTAAGTGTAGTAAAGGCAGAGGCTTGAGACACACGCAGGCAAGGGTTTGAGGTTCCGGATCAAGGTACATACTGAGGGCCTTCTTGGATGAGGGAGGGCAGGTCTGCACAGAAGAGGATCCACTGCAAGTCACTTCTGAAACTGAATAAGAGCCGAACTCAGGTCACCCAGGAGCCAGCTCCTAGTCTCCCCTGAGGTCTGGCTGCAAGAAGTGAGGGAGAGGAACAGAGGCCAGCAGTCCCCAGGCCCCAGCACGGCTCCTGGCTACTCCTGGCTCGGTCACTGACTTCCTTCGCCCCTGATAGGTCACCTTCCCTGCCCAGCCTGTTTCTTCATCTGCTCAGTGGGAATGACCCTCCCAACTACTGCTCCCTGTTCCTTCTTAGTTACTGAAGGGGCAAAGGGCAGATGTGCACAAGTTTTGTAACGAGGAGCCAAAGAGATTTATTTGAGGAAATTTCTCAAGGAGTGTCTCTATACCTTCCTCAAATCTGTTTCTCAGGCTGTTAAATAAGGTGAGAATTCCTTCACTAGGCCTTGACGAAAACCAGGGAACAGGCTCCAGGCCTGGAGATCACCTGGATAACAAGCCCCTCCTCCCCTCTGGGGGGTCACTGAGTGCTGGTGATCCAGTCACTTCTCCCCCTGCACAGGAGGGCAGGGGGGTGCGCATGTGCTTAATTTCTATGTTAAGGCCAGTGAAAGGGCAAGGCTGGTGGTTGGGGGAGTGCCCTCCTGATGGCAGGAGATGACACACAGCATGGCGGTTAGCATGGTGCCCCACTGGCACAGTTCAAACGCCTCTTCCTCTGCTAAGCACTGTGGCTGACTTCACTGCTATGAGCATCAGTTTCTTCATCTGGGAAATGGGATAATAGTTCCTACTTCCTGGACTTGCTGAGAGGATTAAATAAGTGTTTAAAAACACAAGGCTGGACATTTGCTAGGCACATAATAACAGGTGTTTTCATCTGCATTAGGTTTGTCTCACTATGGTTGGGGCATTTAGGACAGATTATCAACTCGCCGAGAAAGCTGGAAGTCTTTTATGAATCTAGACTAGTCACTTCTCTCTCTTCCTGTTAAATAAGGTTCCCACTGCCCAGCCAGGTCCTGCCCTCTCCCCTGCCCTGGTGTTCCTGCTTCCAGCCCCAATTCCGGACTCACCACCTCCACTCGGGTACGTAGCCTCCCTCCCATGGCTCTCCCATAGCCACAGGGCAGTCTCCGTCCTCAGTACCCGCCCTGCCCACCTGTGAAACCCCATTCTCGCCACTTCCCTGTCGCATTAGGAGCACCTCTTCATTTCAGGATGGGGCCCTGCACAAGCTGCTCTCCCTGCTTAGCCCTGATGGTACCTGCTCGGGAGCACTCAGGGGTCCTCCAGGCAGCCCCTCGGACTCCCAGCCTGGGCGGCCTCCCTCATCAGTCCCTCAGGCTGCCTGGGCCACATTGGGTGGCGGGGAGGACCCCTCACTGACTAGTGCCCCAGCGTCTTCGCGGCTGAAGGCACCCAGTGAGGGTGTGTCAATAATTAAGTAGTCAGGCTGAGGGACCCAGAGGGAATGGGAACCCCAGGAAGAGAGAGGAAGGCTTTTGGGGGCGGGTGGGGTGGGGCCCGGAGACCCTACCGGTCCTTGTGAAGCTTCAGGAGCCTCTTGGCGTCTTCCCTGCTCCCGGGGGCCGGGCCGGCCTTCTCCAGGGCCTCTCTCAGCAGCTGGCTCTTCTCCAGGCCGAAGACGTGAGGGGGAGCGGCAGCCGAGGCGGGCGGCGGTGGCAGGGGCGGAGGGGGGGGAACAGGTGCCTGGAGACCTGAGGGAGAGGGTGGAAAGGCTTCCACCATTAGATGTGGGGCCGGGGGTGGGGGTGGGATGACCGGGGCCTGGGATGAAGGAGAGACTGGGGACTCCAGCGGGGAAGCGCATAAAGAAGTCATTTTGGAGTCCATGGGCTGGAAGAATGGGAGAGAGATTGATCCTTCAAAATGGGCTGGTCTCAGGGATGGAGATTTTGAAGGATTTAGGACGGAGGCCCGGAAGTGGGAGGCTGAGCAACGGGATTGAAAGAACCGGAGCTAAACTTGGAACCATGGGAGCGAGGACTGGGATGGACTCAAATCCGGAGGGCTCTGAGGGTGACGGCGGCGTCCTCTGATTCGGAACCAGATCTGCGGCACGCAGTTGGGTTGCAAGGCTGAAAGAGGGAAATGAAGTAGTTAATTTATTATTCATTGCTAGGTTTGGAAACTTGGGTCCGTTTTGGGATGTGAAGACCTGGAGTGAGGCACCTAAAGGGTCAGGTAAAAATTTAGGCTCAGTCCCCCCCTCACATCCCAGGCCCGAGTTTGCAACCTTCCAGCTGACCTTTGAGTCAGAGGTCAAGAGGTCAGAAGGACACCAGGCAGGAAAAATGGCCTAGTTGTGTGGACCTTGGAATCAGAACGCAACAGGAAAGGTCTGTGGTGGGATGGGAAGGCTCAGAGATCGGAGGCCGTAGGGAGCCGCGATTAGGAGGGATAGGGAAAGCACAGCGCTCTTCCACAAAATGGCGGCGCCGCACTCAGCCTTTCCCGTCTAAGGTGCGGGCCAGGCGTGGGTCCCGCCCCTTTAGCGACCACGTGACAGAGCGCAGGCCGGCCGGGGAGCGGTGGGGCTTCCCAAGGACGCCTCGGAAGAGACCGCCGCGAGAGCCGCGACACTATTGGCCAGAAACGCACTCTTCACTGATTGGTCTGAAGGCTTGCGGAGGCGGGGGGGGGGGCGAAGTTAGGGGGGGCGAGGAGGCGGAGTTTTTCTCCTGAGGCGGGAACTCCAGTGCCCTTTTGATTGGCAAGTTTTGGGTTGAGAGTGTCAAGATCTATCTCGAGATTTGATTGGCAAAGTCGGGCGAGACTTACTCTGATTGGCCAAGCTACCAAATTTCCGCGCACGGATTGGCTTGCAGAACGATAAAGGCGGAGCCAGTAGAGAAGGCCTCGCGCTCGGCATTCAGAAACGCCGAAGCAGCCACTAGCCGGACTTGTAGCTCCGTTGGTAAGTAATCGAGGGCGCAGGCGGCCATGGCGGGCGGATCGCTGGGCGCCCGTTTCTTCCCGTACTTCGTGTGGAGAAATTATTTTCCTGCTGCGCATGTTCAAGGCACCACAAAATCCTCCTTAAACTGGCGCTTACATCCGGGTTCTTTTTCCTGGGCCGCCCTGTGAGCGCGTGGGCCAATGGGGATCACCGCTCAGTACGCTCAGCCCACTAAGGAGCGCAGAGCATCCTGGGACTGGAAGTAAACCTCCACGCGGGAGAAGGGGTGCCCTGCTTTCGCTTTGTTTTCCGAACTGTGCTCCGGTCTTCCCTCCTCCCCGCCTCACCTGACATCTTCCTGGAAGGAAAATCCCTGGGAGCCCGTTAAGCCCACTTTCGGTCAAAATATTTTGAGGAACCAGGGCAGAAGTTAACCTTTTCTATTCTTTCAGTCCTACCGCGGCACCTCCCTCCATGGCAGTTCCCGAGACCCGACCCAACCATACTATTTATATCAACAACCTCAACGAGAAGATCAAGAAGGATGGTGAGTTCTCGAAGGAGACCACACTCCAGGTTATCTCGCCCGAGGCGGCCCCTCTTTCATCCCCAGCATCTACTTATCTCTGCAGCCTTCTCTCTCAGGCAGAATACTAGAGCTCATGCCTGCGTCTTTGCACATGCTGCTTCCTCTTGCTTTAACACTCCCCCCCAGTTCATCTTCCATTCTGTCCATTAACCTGGTCACTGTCCCTCATCCTTGAAGGACCCCTCTCCCAGGAGCCCTTCCCCATCTTTCTCCTCAGATGCCTGTCCGATTTCCCAGAGGCCTCGCCTCCTCCCACATCCCAAGCCCTGATGGTTCTGAGCTGTTAGAGAGCTGTCTCTCCACTGGCCTGTGAGAGCAAGAATGGGGGCTGGCTTAGTCAGTGTCGTGTTTTCAATGAAAATGTTTCATTTCAAAATGAAATGAATAATGATGAATAACACTCTATACCAGGTGCTGATACATGTCCTAATTATATTTATTTTTCACAACAACTCTACAGGAAGTAGTTATTGTTCCCAATTCTCAGATTAGGAAACTGAGACTCAGGGGTGATGTGACTTGCCCAGGGGTCACACAGTAAAGAAAAATAGTTTATGTCACCACTGGAATTCTGCTTAAGAACTTGATTCTCATATATATATATATATATATATATATATATATATATATTATTGATTTCAGAGAGGAAGGGAGAAGGAAAGATAAACATCAATGATGAGAGAGAATCATTGATCCACTGCCTCCTGCACACCCCTATTGCTGGCTCTTGTGGGATTGCTGACCCATGGTATTGTGGGCATCCTTTGTTGGCTGATGTTTCCCTTCTGGGCTATACTTTTCCTCTGAGAACAGGAGTTTAAGATCCAGGCGTGATACCAAGACCTGTAGTCATCCATGGACCTTTCTTTCCCCCACTGTAGAGCTGAAGAAGTCCCTGTATGCTATCTTCTCCCAGTTTGGCCAGATCCTGGATATCCTGGTGTCACGGAGCCTGAAGATGAGGGGCCAAGCCTTTGTCATCTTTAAGGAAGTCAGCAGTGCCACCAACGCCCTGCGTTCCATGCAGGGTTTCCCCTTCTACGACAAGCCCATGGTGAGCACTGTGGGTATAGAGGGTGTGCACTTGTTTGTGAGGTGCGAGACGAGACAGGATGGGCCTGGATCTCCTGTCACCTGTATTCCAGTTCCTCAGGACAGGAGTTTCTCTTGCCGTTCCTCACATTTACTGCTCACTGTACTAGGTGTGGGTCACACACTACCTAAGGGAACCCTAGCCCTGCCCTCTCAGGCTCACAGGGCTGTAGAGAGACAAGTCTCACCAGATAGTGACAACTCAGGAGTTGGCTGGAATGGGGATTGTGTACAGAGCTAGACAAGCTTAGGAGAGGCACCTCAACCAGGCTGGGGGTTCAGGGAAGGCTTTTGGATGGGATGAGACTTAAAGAAGTGTTAGCAGGGGAAGTAGTGGGAAAAAGGTTGTTAGGCAGAGGGATCATGTGGACTAAGGCCTAGAAATAACCAAGAGCATATGTAATTGAGGAAGCAAGTCAAGTTCATTTGGCTGGAGTGATGGTAGGAGGAGTGGGGAGGGCATGGCCTGCAGACCATGACCAAAGTTTGTCCTGAAGGGGAAGTGACTCCCAGGGTGCTGCAGAGCCATGGAAAGGTTTAGGCCGGGAGATGCCTGTGGCTCTTGGATAGAGCGGATTGGAGGAGAAAATTTAGGGTCCAGTGTGAAGGAGAGGCTGGGTCAGGCTCCCAGGCAGGCTGGGATGAGAAAGGTGGCTGGATTGCAGATGTTTGTACTAACTGCTTGGATCATATCAAGCTCTCAGGCCTGTGTGTGTTTTCAGGGAATCTTGTCAACTCTACCTTTCAAAACACCCACCAGCTGTCCCCAACCTGGGCCCAGCCACCACTATCCCTAGTTAGACTGTGGCAGTGGCTGAGGTCTCCCTGCTTCAACCCTGCTCCCCACAGGCCGTACATGGCCACACTGCTCCTTGTGGAGCACCCCATGCTTATAATATCCACTAGTTTCCTTAAGGAAAGACAGAATCCTCCCTTACAGTCTTCAGTGTTCTTTTGCTTCTGTGACCTTTTTTCTTTCATCCTCATGTACATTGACCACCTTGCTGTTCCTTGAACACCCTTGCATACCTTAGGTTTTTTTTGTGTGTGTGTTTATTTATATTGATTTTTTACACAGAGGGATTGAGAGGGATAGAGAGTTAGAAATATTGATGAGAATCATTGATCAGCTGCCTCTTGCACACCCCCTACTGGGGATGTGCCTGCAACCAAGGTACATGCCCTTGACCGGATTTGAACTCGGGACCTTTCAGTCCACAGGCTGACACTCTATCCACTGAACCAAACCGGTTTTGGCCCCAGTGATTTCTTTAGCGTTATTTACTGAGGTCCTGGTAAGATCTACTTTTGTACCCAGGCAATTAACTCCAAAGTCCACTCTCTTAACCCTTTGGCTCTCTGTTGCAGCGTATCCAGTATGCCAAGACCGACTCTGATATCATTGCCAAGATGAAGGGCACTTTTGTGGAGCGTGACCGTAAGCGGGAGAAGAGGAAGCCCAAGAGCCAGGAGACCCCAGCTGCAAAGAAGGCCGTGCAGGGCGGGGCAGCCACCCCTGTAGTGGGGGCTGTCCCAGGGCCTGTCCCGGTAAGCAAAGGCCTTTCTCTGCTATGTAGCCTGTCTGGGGGAGGCGTAGGGGAGGGATCTCCACTTGGGGATTCAGACACCACCCCCCTTCCATTTCCTTATGTAGGTTGCATGCCTTTCTCTAGATTAGGGGTGTCGAACTCAATCAGAGAAGGGGCCAAAATCTAAAATCCAGCCTAAATCGCGGGCCGAATGGTTTACTGAACAGTCATAAACTGTCATTGTGATGGAAACGCAGCGGAGTGCAGTGATGACAGTGCGGTGCGGGCCACATTGCAAGGCCTGGCGGGACGGATTTGGCCCGCGGGCCTTGTGTTTGACACATGTGCTCTAGATGATGGTGTTTCCACTTCAGAAATACCGTCCCTGCTTACCAGATTCTTCCTTAGGATCTTTCTTTGTGTCCCAGGCTCTTGGTTTCTCTCTCCATGACCTTGATGTTCTCTATGTAAGAAATCTAGAGGAATTTACTAAGCAATAGTTGGGATTAATAAGTGAATTTTTGCCAGGTGTGAAGTCAATGTGAAAAAAAAGCTTTATTTCTTCTCTTTTTTCCTTTTTTTTTTGTATTTGAAGAGCATGTGGATATTTTTATTTTTATTTTATTTTCTTTTTTTCTTTTTATTAAATTATCTGTGTACATATTGTACCATTGCCCCCCCCCCCTACGTACCCCCCCTCCCCAGAGTTTTGTGTCCATTGGTTGTACTTATATGCATGTATACAAGTCCTTCGGTTGATCTCTTATCTCCCCCAGATCTCCCTCCCCTCCCTGCTGTAATTTGACATAAGCTTTATTTCTATATGCTAGCAACACACATGTAGACTTCAAACAGAAAATAGCTCTGAAGAGTCAATCCAACAAAAGGTGTGCAACCCTCCCCTTATATACACACACACACACACACACACACTACACTACAGAACACTGCTGAGAGAAATTGGAGATGGTCTCAGCAGATGGCTAGGGAATCTCCCTGATGTTAAGATGTCACTTCTTCCCAGATTGATCTAAAAGTCAGCAATTCCAATCAAAACCCCAATAGGAATTTTTGGGGACACTGACAGCCTGATTCTCAAGGTCTGTGGGAAGGCAAAGAAAGATAGGCGAGGAGAGCCGAAACCGGTTTGGCTCAGTGGATAGAGTGTCGGCCTGGGGACTGAAAGGTCCCAAGTTTGATTCCGGTCAAGGGCATGTACCTTGGTTGCGGGCACATCTTCAGTAGGGGGTGTGCAGGAGGCAGCTGATCAATGTTTCTTTCTCATCGATGTTTCTTACTCTCTATCCTTCTCTCTTCCTCTCTGTAAAAAATTAATAAAATATATTAAAAAAAAAAAAAAAAAAAGATAGGCGAGGAGAAGCCTGAGGGAGCCTGCTGCAGTGGTCAAGGTGGTGTGGTATTGAAAGACCCGATGGGGCAGAGTAAGTGCAGGTCCAGATCCACACATGTGGGTTACTCAGCCTGAAGCTAATGCTGCAATCCAGTGGGAAAGGGATTTTTTTTTTCTTAGTAAAAGATGCTGGACTTATTGGATATCTGTAAGGGAAAAAATTACTCTACCTCTACTAGATATGTTAAATTGAGACTAATCATACACCCTAATGTGACAGCTAAAACAATAAAGGTTTTGGAAGAAAACAGGAAAATGCCTTCATGACCTTGGTGAGGCATGAAAAGTAGAAGCATCCTGTTTTCTAAACAGGATACAGAAGCACATAGTATGAAAGAAAAGATGATGAATTGCATCCACTGTAGGTCTTCAAGTCTCTACGTGAGCTTTCCTGGTGGCTCACTGATGCATTTGTCACCAATTCATGTATTTGTCCTGTGTGCACTGATGGAATAAGGAATGGTGTTTGATTATTGTCCACCTTCCCCACTCTTACCTGTCCCTTCTTCTGTGTCCATCTTTCACTGTCAAGGTGTGATTCCCGCCCCCACAGCCCTGTCCCTTCGGTGCATGTGTTGTGTCATGCTGCTGTCTGCTTTCTTCCCCTTGCTGCCATCCTCCTCACTTATTTCTGTACCTGCCTTGACCATCCCTGCCTTCCATTGTTTTTTTTTCTCTGTAGGACCCTGGATCTATTTCTTTGGTTTTTCCTTATTATGTGAAAGTATAGCATTCTCATTCCCTCTTCTTTTAGTTAACTATTGTTAATACTTTGAATTTTTCCTGTTTCTTTTTCCCCCCATGCATATATCTATAGACAAAGTTAGGTTGCACTGATTAATTTTTTTTATATTAAAAATTTCTTTTAACTTTCTTATTTGACATTCCCATTGACACTGGGTCTGTTTTGCTCCATTTGTTTCTCTTGGTGTCCTTTGCCTTTGTTACCTCTTCCTAAGTCTGAGCTTTTCTCCCTGTGTCTTACACCTGGATTTCCTCCAACAGCCTTTTCTCCACTGCGATTTCTAATGACACTGAAAGCAAGTTTCCTCCCCGTCACCCACCCGCTCACTCCAGCTCCTCCTCTCCACAGGGCATGCCGCCGATGACTCAGGCGCCCCGCATCATGCACCACATGCCAGGCCAGCCTCCCTACATGCCGCCCCCTGGCATGATCCCACCTCCAGGCCTCGCACCTGGCCAGATACCACCGGGGGCCATGCCCCCACAGCAGCTTATGCCAGGGCAGATGCCACCTGCTCAGCCTGTAAGTGTCTAGTCCTCCTGGGGTCTCGAATAAATAGTTAGAACATGGGAACCAAAGGGGCGCTGTTTTAGTGTGGGTGCCTGGGTAAGCCTCCCTGAGGAGGTGCTGTTGGAGGATGAGTACGAGGCCCTGGAGCAGCATGGGATTGGCATATTTGTTGGAGGAGCTTTGGAAGGTCCGGTGAGGCTGAAGCATAGCCAGCACCTGGATTCATCCTCAGGGATCTTATGACAAGCACCTGCTCTGGATATAGCAGTGCTTCCATGTGGCTCACGGTCCAGAGGGTGCAAAGTGGAGAAAGGATTCAAGCAGGGTGGGGTGGAGAACAGAAGTCAGCAAACCCACCCGCCCCCATTATACTCACGGGCTCCTGTCTCTTCCTGTAGCTTTCAGAAAACCCACCAAATCACATCTTGTTCCTCACCAACCTGCCAGAGGAGACCAATGAGCTCATGCTGTCCATGCTTTTCAATCAGTAAGTGGGGCCTGTGGTTGGGGGGCCAGGGGGTGATGGCCAGAAAGTGGCACCATGGGGATAGGCCTCAGAATTCTGCTAGCGGAGTCCTGTGTCTGCTTGGGCTTTGCAGGTGGGACAGAGCCTACAGCCCCTATTGTGTGGTGAAGATAAGGCTTAGGGTCAGCAGTGGCCAGAGTGTATGTGTGCTGTCCTCCACCTTCATGGGGGTGGAGAGACTCTGGGCCTCAGCTTTCTATCTGTAGAATTCAAGGTACATGTTAAAAAGACCTCATTGAACGCTGGCCAGACTTGCAAAAATCAGTATTCCAGCAAGCCTGGGAGGTGGGGAGGTTTGAACCTCATGCCCTGCTGTTGGCATGTAGACTCTGCAATCATTGTGCAGGGTAACCGTTTGCTGCTTAAGCAGTGAAGTTAAGAACTGTGTCTTCATCCAAAATGTGTTTATTGGGGTGTTAAGCCACTCATCTTGATTTAGATGCTTTTATTTATTTCTATTAAAAAATTTTTTTAAATTGAATTTGAGAGAGAAACATTGATGTGAGAGAGGAATAACAATCAGCTGCCTTCTGCACAACCCCCAATGGGGATCCAGCTTGAAACCTGGGTGTGTGCCCTGACCTGGAATTGAACCAGCAACCTTTCAGTGTACGGGAAGATGCCTAACCAATTGAACCACCCTGGCCAAGGATGATTTTAGGTGCTTTAGTGATGCTCTGTTTTGGAGGAGTCTCCTCTGTCGGCCTTGCTTTTCCTCCTATATGTTGACAGCATGGTGGAACAGCCAGCACACACACTGGCTAAAGACTGGTGATTTTACAGCATCTGGGCATTTCACATCCATGAAATAAGAACTGGGCTCTACACCAGGCACTTCTTGTGTTTCCTCTTCTCTTCTGAAGAGGGATGAAGAAGATCTTTAATGAAAGGCATGTTATGGGGAGGTTGTCACTGCCAGAAAGGCTCTAAAGAAACATTTTTAAATCCTTACCTAAGAATAATTTTTACATTGATTTTTTTTTTTTAAAGAGAGAGATTTTTGAGGAGGATGGGGGAGAGAGAGAAACATTGATGTGAGAGACACATTGATTAGTTGACTTCCCCATACGCCCAGATGTAGGTACTTGCCCTTGACTGGGATGTGTATCCAAAATCCTTTAGTCAGTGAGCTCATGGTCCAGCCATTTAGCAACACCAGCCAGATCCCCCAGAAAATTATTCTTGTTTTATTTATTTATACACACATATCCTATCTAATAAAAGTGATATGCAAATTGACTACTTCAGCAACACCCACAAGCCATGCCTATCAGCCAATCTGGAGTGAGTATGCAAATTAACCCAACCAAGATGGCTAAGGCCACAGAAAGAGCAGGAGGCTTAGGTTTCCACGGCCATAGAGGAAATTTGCCAAGCTTTCCGCCTGTCCTGGCCTGCCTTGGCCTCCGCTTAAGGCTACAAAGTTTCAATTATAGAAGATAAATAAATCCCAGATCCCAGGGCCTCTGCTTGGGTCGTGGGGAAGGGGCTGGTTGGGAGTGGTGTTACTGGCCTGCAAACCATCACAGGCCCCTCACCCAGGCTGCCCCATGCCCCAAGGTAAACCCCACCCTAATCCTGAACACCCTTCAGGGCAAACCAGCTGGTCCCCACCCATGCACCAGGCTTTTATCCTATCTAATAAAGAGTAATATGCATATTGACCAACACACAAAACGGCTGTCCCAATGTGGTCAAAGATTGCTGCCTCAATGGGACACAAGATGGCCAGCAGGGGAGGGCAGTTGGGGGCAATCAAGCCTGTAATAGAGGGCAGTTAGGGGTGACTAGGCTGGCAGAGAAGGAAAGTTGGGGGCGACTAGACCTGCAGGGAAGTACAGTTGGCGGTGGGGGACCAGACCTGCAGGAGAGGGCAGTTAGGCATCAGTCAGGCTGGCAGGGGAGTGGTTAGGGGCAATCAGGAAAGAAGGCAGGCAGGCGAGCAGTTGGGAGCCAGCAGTCCTGGATTGTGAAAGAACAGTAGGATAAGGCTTAAATAGGCAGTCGGACATCCCTCGAGGGGTCTGAGATTGGAGAGGGTGCAGGCTGGGCTGAGGGACACACCCCTGTGCACCAATTTCGTGCACCAGGCCTCTAGAGTGTGTGTGTGTGTGTGTGTGTGTGTGTGTTTGTGTGTGTGTATATGTTTATTTTACTGATTTCAGAGAGAAAGGGAGAGAGAAACATCAATGATGGGCGAGAATCATTGATTGGCTGCCTCCTGCACACCCCCTACTGGGGATCAAGCCCACAACACAGGTATGTGCCCTTGACTGGAATCAAACCTGGGACCCTTCAGTCCTCAGCCCAACGTTCTTATCCATTGAGCCGAACCAGCTAGGACAAGAAATTCTTTTTTTTTTTTTTTTTTTTTTTTTTAACATATTTCACTGATTTTCCACAGAGAGGAAGGGAGAGGGATAGAGAGCTAGAAACATCGATGAGAGAAACATTGACCAGCTACCTCCTGCACACCCCCCTACCGGGGATGTGCCTACAACCAAGGCACATACCCTTGACCGGAATAGAATCTGGGACCTTTCAGTCCGAAGGCTGAAGCTCTATCCACTGAGCCAAACTGGTTTCGGCAGAACAAGAAATTCTTAACATGAGCTCCAGGGAGTATAGGTGGGACATTCCTCACAGTAGTAATGGTAGGGAATTAGCCCATGCAAAAGAAGTCAATTAGCTCACCATGGTGTCTGCAGCATTAGAAGGAACAGAGTGCCCCAGCATGGTTCTTTAAAATAGTGCTGAGAGGAAATTTTGAGAAACTGGATAAAACAAGCAATTATCACATGTTAACCATGTCCACAGAACAAAATATGTAAGAATACTGATGAGTAAAAGGATACCCAGTCAACATGAGGATGGTTGCCTCATGGGGAAGGAAGTAGGGAATGAGAAGAGGGAAATGAAAGAAACAGCAAATCCTAAAGGTCAGGGGAGTGGTTATTTCTGGAGTGAGGAAAGATTGGTTATGAGAGGAAGAAGTAATGGGGCGGCCTGAGTTTGGTGGCTTGATCTAGACCACATGTGTCAAACACAAGGCCCGCGGGCCAAATCCGTCCTGCCAGGCCTTACAATGTGGCCCGCACCGCACTGTCATCACTGCACTCCGCTGCGTTTCCATCACAATGACAGTTTATGACTGTTCAGTAAACCATTCGGCCCTCGATTTAGGCTGGATTTTAGATTTTGGCCCCTTCTCTGATTGAGTTCGACACCCCTAATCTAGACTATGGTTGTGTAGGAGTTCGTGTTAAAATTTCTCATTAAATGATAATGTTCACAATGTGTGCACTTATTTATATTAGGGGTTTTCAACTTAGCACTATATACATTTAGGAATGGGTAATTCTTTGTTATTATGGCCATTCTCTTTATAGTAGGATGCTTAGCAACATTCTGGTCTCTGCCCACCAAATGCCAAATGTTAGGAGGAACTGCTGATTCTATATCCCTGAGATCTGTTCCCTTCTCTCAGGTTCCCTGGCTTCAAGGAAGTCCGGCTGGTCCCAGGGCGGCACGACATCGCCTTTGTGGAGTTTGACAATGAGGTTCAGGCAGGGGCGGCTCGAGATGCCCTCCAGGGCTTTAAGATCACCCAGAACAACGCCATGAAGATCTCCTTTGCCAAGAAGTAGCACCTTTCCCCCATGCTTGCCCCCACCTCCTGTTTGGGGGCCTTCCCTCTTCCCCTTGGCTCGGCCCCCTGAAGGTAAGTCCCCGTAGGGGGCCTTCTTGGAGCCACGTGTGTGAGTGAGTGGTCACACAGCATTGTACCCAGAGTCTGTCCCCAGACATTGCACCTGGCGCTGTTAGGCTGGAATTAAACTGTTTTTTATGTTTGATTTTCTACAACAATTTGTTGTTTTTGTTTTCTTGTCCTCTATGGTTCCCTTTTCTGTATATCAGAGTATCCTGAATTTTTAGACCTCATCTGCAACCTCAGGAAAGCGGAGTATGTAATAATATTGTCTGAGATGAAGTCACCTTTACTGCCTTGGCAGATTTCTATTTTGTCTCAATCAGCATTGAGTGCAGGAAATTGAAACCCAAGCTACCATGTACAGTTGGACAGGTTCTATACTGCACCAGGATGCCACCTTTAATGGCACACCATTCACTTTGTAGACCATTAATTTCCTAACATGATAGAGCGTAAAGGAAGACGTTTTTCTTTGCCTGTTTCTAATCTTCACAGAGTGCCTCCTGTTACAGCAACAGTCCCACCCTGGGTACTTTAGGAACAAAGAAGGGAATTATTTAGATGCTCATGAAATCATTTGGAAGGATAGTAGGAATGGCAGTCTGGGTTTGAGACACTTGAGTTCAAGTTTGTAACCCCTGATAGAATTCAGGAAGATGTCACTGCTACACCAACAGGAGGCCCAGGCGGACTTGATCACACATGGGAAGCTACCGACCAGATGTTGGCACAAACTCAGCTGACTCCGTTGCTGCTGCCAGCCAGAAGATTCAAATTTCTCTTCAGTGCTCTAGTGGCAGGGGAATCTGGGAAATGTAGTCTCTGGCAAAAAAAGTCATGTTTGCAGCTGAAGCTATGGATAAAGGAAGATGGAATAGAGGGTCTTCCTTAATGGTCTCTTACACACCTAATCTGGAGAATTTTATATTGACTCAAAAAAATATATTGCTTCAGACCCTTTCTCATACCATATAGATGGGAAAATAAGATTATTTGACAAACAAAATGAACCACAAAAACAAGTGCAATAGGACATAGGCTTATATTCTCTGAATATTTTTCCTGCCAAGGCTAGCCCACACCTGTCTCTCCTCTGGTCTTATCGTTAAAGAGGAACATCAGTAAAGTGATGAGACCTGTAACACCAAATGCAGGCTTTCTCCCAGTACAGGCGTCCTCAAACTTTTTAAAGTGGGGGCCAGATCACGGTCCCTCAGAGAGCTGGAGGGCCGGACTATATGAACTACTAATTCCTACTGTAACACCTCGGCTGCCCTCACTGCCCAAAAAACCTGGCGGGCCGGATCAGACTGGGCCATAGTTTGAAGACTCCTGTAAGATCTGAAAGATTGGAAGGAGAAAGAGATGTTCCCCTTTACTACAAGACAGTGTTTGCAAATGGCAAGTGGAAACATTTTTTATTTTTAAAATTTATGTATTTTAAAAATATTTTTAATTGATTTTCTTACAGAGAGAAAGGGAGAGAGATAGAGAGTTAGAAATGTCGATGAGAGAGAAACATCGACCAGCTGCCTCTTGCACACCCCCTACCGGGGATGTGCCCGCAACCAAGGTACATGCCCTTGACCGGAATTGAACCCGGGACCTTTCAGTCCACAGACCGACACTCTACTGCTGAGCCAAACCGGTTTCGGCGCAAGTGGAAACATTTAAAAAATATATATTTTACTGCTGAAACCGGTTTGGCTCAGTGGTAGAGCGTCGGTATGGGGACTGAAAGGTCCCGGGTTCGATTCCGGTCAAGGGCATGTACATTGGTTGCGGGCACATCCCCGGTAGGGGGTGTGCAAGAGGCAGCTGGTTGATGTTTCTCTCTCATCGACGTTTCTAGCTCTCTTATTTCTCCCTTTCTCTCTGTAAAAAATCAATAAAATATATTTTAAAATATATATATTTTTACTGAGATTTTACAGAGGAAGGGAAAAGGATAGTTAGAAACATCGATGAGAGAGAAACATCAATCAGCTGCCCCTAACTGGAATCAAACTTGGGACCCTCAGTCTGCAGGCTGATGCTCTATCCACTAAGCCAAATCAGCTAGGGCTTTGTGGAAACATCTTGCCCACCATACTGGTTCTGTGATCAGCAGATCCCAGTCTCTGCTGTCTGCATGGGGGACACGCAGACATTCCTAGCTATCCCTTCACCTAGTTATTTTCTTGTGCGAAGAGAAACCTATGTTAATACTGGGGTATTGTTTGTACTGTCACTCTCCACTGCCAGGCACTTAGCAAGCACTCAATAAATTCAGCAGATACTTGCTGAGTACTTTTTCTGTGCTAAATACTGATCTTGGTATAGGATATACAGTGGTGAATAAAATAGATAAGCTAATTTTAGGCATTGTGTACCAGCAAAATGTCTTGGAGTGATTGGGTGATTCAGGAAGGCCCCTTGGAGGAGCTGACATTTAAGTGGAGCTGTTGAATGTTCTCATATTTGTTGCTGAGTGTTGGGTATGTTTTACATGCCCCGATGAATTTTCCACTCAAGACTTTATCCTCTTCCCCCCTGAGAAAATTTGGACTTGCTGTCCCAAAGGTGAGAATGCCTGGGGAAAGAGATGGATGCCCAGGAGAATGATCTCACCACATGGCTGTCTGATTTGCAGCACAATGTAGAAGTGAGCCTTGAATTTAAATTCTCCATTTTCTGCCGAAACCGGTTTGGCTCAATGGATAGAGCGGCTTGGGCACTGAAGGGTCCTGGGTTCGATTCCGGTCAAGGGCATGTACCTTGGTTGCGGGCATATCTCCAGTGGGGGTTGTGCAAGAGGCAGCTGATCGATGACTCTGTCTCATCGATGTTTCTAACTCTCTATCTCTCTCCCCTTCTCTCTGTACAAAATCAATAAAATATATATTAATAAATAAATAAATAAATAAATAAATAAATTCTCCATTTTATTCTAATACTGGCCATCTGAACTCCAAACTTAGTATGGGCCTGGAGCCAAATCTAGCCACTGCACTTCTTGGCTCTAACCTTGTGGATAACTTTAAGTCTATACACTTGTATTTCCACACGAAATGGGGTATTCATTGGAGTCAATAAAAGTACATACCATATTTTTCTTTGTATAAGATGCTATTTTTTTCTAAAATCATTAGACTGAAAATCAAGGATCATTTTATATACAGAAGTCAGTCCAGGAGAGAGCCATGTGGGTGCATAGCTGCCCATACCTTATCAAACAGGCTTCCTCCAATCAGCAGCTTTATTGTTACTGACGTCAGCTGATGCCATAATTGGAGGTGAAAAGTGCACAGATGCAACAGGGACTGGAGCATTCTGAGCCTATAAAGATGTAAAAAAATAAAAGATGAATACCGTTAAGCAATTGTCTTACTCAGCAAAAATTCAAACAATGTAATTAGCTATGCAAAAGAGCATGGAAATAGAGCTGCAGAGAGAATTTGGACTTCCTCCCACTGAGTGATCAATCAGTGGAGAAAACAGGAATTACAACTCCTTAAGATGCCAAAAAAGTCCTTAAGAGGAAAATCAGCAAAATGTTGAAAATACTGATTTGCCCTGGCTGATTTGGCTCTGGATGGAGCATCAGCCTGTGGACTGAAGGGTCCCGGGTTTGATTCCGGCCAGGAGCACATTCCTGGGTTGTGGGCTTGGTCCCCCAGTGGGAGGTAGTAGGGGGCGTGTGGGAGGCAGCCGATCCATGATTCTCTCTCATCATTGATGTTTCTATCTCTCATTCTTCCTTCCTCTCTGAAATCAATGAAAATATATTTTTAAAAAAGGAAATAAGTGATTTCTTAATTTTGGGTTGGAAAAGGGGGAAGGGGAGTCATACATGGAATAATACAATAATTAAATGGTGACTGCATTATAAAGAATTAGCTTTTATTATCTATATTGTATAAATGAGAATCCAAAAGGAGAATATAGCTTAGCCCATAGTCAGGAAGTGACTGGTGAGGATAAATAATGGCCACGGCAGCGTATATCTAGCCAAAGGTCCAACATACAATATTCACTCAGTACTTGAGAGCTGGCGCTATTCCTGGCAGTCAAAGGGCTGCCTGTTCTGTCCCTCAGCACAGGAAATTCCAAGCTAGGTACCCAAGCCAACTGGAGAAGATGGAATTGAATATCTCAGCTTGCCTGTCTGGGCCTCTGAATGCTGAGGGGGTAGCTATCACTTAGAGTGGCCTGGCAGCTTTGGAGCTCTAGGCATTTCCTTGGGTGGGAAGCCCTCACCCTGTCCTTGAAATGGTTCTGGCTGGGTTGCAGCCCCTAGGTGGTGTGGGCGAAATTTGGGACTGGTTTAGGGCAGGGATAAGACTGAGAACACAGGATTCCTTGTACTGCTGTAAAAAGGGAAGGCAGGAGGATATTGAAGACCCCATTCCCTGCTTAGTCAATCTCCAGCTCATAGTCCATGATGACTTGGCTTAGGATGTTCCTCGGTGTCATCTTCTTGCTGTCTGCCTTCTCAGGACCTACTGTTGGGGGCCGCCCCATGCCCAAGCTGGCTGACTGGAAGCTGTGTGCCGATGAGGAATGCAGCCGTAAGAGTTGGGGTTGGGGGTGGGGGGCTTGGATTGCCAGCCTGAATGGAAGTTGTTATCATTCCCTTATATTCTTTCCCCAGACCCCATCTCCATGGCTGTGGCTCTTCAGGACTACGTAGCCCCTGATTGCCGTTTCCTGACCATACACAGGGGCCAAGTTGTGTATGTCTTCTCTAAGCTGAAGGGCCGTGGTCGGCTCTTCTGGGGAGGCAGTGTGAGTCTTGGGAGAAGAGAAGAAGGGATATGGGGCTGGTGTGGGAGTGCACCCTAATTTTCCACTAAAGGAAAAATTTGAGAGGTGAACTGAAATAGAGTTTATGGGTACTATTGTGATCTACTTTTACTTTGTTTAACAATAATTATAGGGCACCTCCTATGGTTCTGTTCTGTTCTAGGCATTGAAGATATAATCCCATGTATAAAAGGTTAATATGCAAATTGATTGAATAGCAGAACGACTGGTCACTATGATGCACACTGACCACCAGGGGGCAGATGCTCAATGCAGAAGCTGCCCCCTGGTGGTCAGTGTGGTCCCACGGGGGAGGCTGCTCATCCAGAAGCACTGAGCTGGCAAGCACAGTGGTGATGGCAGGGGGCGGGCTCTCCTGCCTTCATGACAGCGCTAAGGATGCCCTACTGATGGCTTAGGCCCGCTCGCTGGGCATCCCCCGAAGGCTCCTGGACTGGAAGTGGGCACAGGCCAGGCTGAGGGACTCCCCACCCCACCCCAAGTGCATGAATTTTGTGCACCGGGCCTCTAGTCTATATAAGAAAAGCCTAAGCGACCATTCTGGAAGAATGACCAAGAATGGCCAATTGCTATGATGTGCACTGACCACTTGGGGTCAGGTACTCAATGCAGGAGCTGCCCCCTTGTGGTCAGTGCCCTTCCACAGCGGGCGCACCACTCAGTCAGAAGCTGGGCTTACTGCTGGCAAGCGCAGTGGCAGGAGAGGATCCAGCTTCTGTGGCTGCACTAAGGATCCCAGACTGCAAGGGGGATCCAGGACTGCAAGAGGGTGCAGCCTGGGCTGAGAGGACCCCCTCCCCCCACAGTGTACAAATTTGCACTGGGCCCTAGTAGCAAATAATACTCATCCAAGGAGTGAGCATATTTTTTTTCTATTGATTTTTTAGAGGGAGTATAAAGGAGGTGGGAAGGAGGGAGAAACATCGATGTGAATGACAAACATTAGGTGACTTCCACAAGCTCCCTGACCAGAGCTGGGGATCAGACCTGTAACCCAGGTACATGTCCTTGGCCAGGAATTGAATCCCATTCTCCCAGGCACAAGGCACTCTAACAACTGAGCTTACTGGCCAATTTCAAATAATCCCTTTTATTCTAATGGCAGAAGACAAATCATCAAAGATATTAGCAAATGTGCTTTGAAAATGTATGAGTGAATGGGTGACTACATCAGGTGGTCAGGGAGCCTTCAGAACAGGTGACTTTAAGCTGAGTTCTGGTTGACAAGGAAGGAGCCAACCACGTGGAGATCCCTGAAGAGCTAGTACAAAGATCTTTAGCAGTTGTGAGCTTGCCATTTTCTCAGACCCAGGCTTTTAAACCCCTTTTCCCCAGGTTCAGGGAGATTATTATGGAGACCTGGCTGCTCGCCTGGGCTTTTTCCCCAGTAGCATTGTACGGGAGGATCAGACCCTGAAGCCTGGCAAAATCAATGTGAAGACAGATGTGAGTGTGTTGGGGGCTGGCAGGGATCTGGAGGGAGGATCCTTGGGTTTTGATAATGGGCAGAAAGCCTACCTTTGGCTGCCTGGAAGCCTAGCTGTGTATATTGAGACAAGTTTTCTTCCTCAATTTTCTCATCTGTAAAATGGGCCATGATTTCTAAGTCCTGTTGCAGTTGAGATGTGCAAGATTACAGGTCTCTGAGCTATTTTGCATTGCAGTTGTGTGGCCAAACTTGGCCCCTAAGGCTACAGCCTTTGCTAAAAACCCCTAGATCCTTGTGGTATGATCACTGGTTTTGTCCCCACTGTTTTCCCTTTCTTTTTTCCAGAAATGGGATTTCTACTGCCAATGAGCTCAGCCTACCGCTGCCCCTGCTGTTTATTTCTCCCAGCTTTATGCAAATACATCAGCCAAGTACAAACTGCCAGTCTCTGTGGTCTTTGTGGTGGGGATCTACTGGTATAAAGGAAATGGGTCCCCAGGTTCCTCAGTCTGGCCAACCACCACCCACTGACTGCGGTAACGTCAATGGTTGCTAGGTAGAATTTCACTGAGACAAAGCATTTTGCCTTAAGCTGGGTATCCGAGATGGGCTTCTAAACTTCGATGTCGCACACAATCTGAACGCCCAATAGGAAACTGTAGTGTCTTCTAAACCAATAAATGGAATGATGTGAAAGTATTGGGAATGAGCCAGTTGGATCTTGAAGACAGTCGCAGAGCAGAGGTCTTGGAAGATTATCTGCAAAGGGAGGAGGGAGGTGGTTAACCTGCGCGTATCTCCCCCAATATTCGTCCTTCCCGGCTCTGAGGTCAGAAATCGTACTTGCTTGGCTCTTTAATCAATCCGGTCCTTACCCCCTTCTTTGCACCCATATCCCCGCCCCCAAGTCGGAGTCTACCCAATGTGGAGACTCGACTTGGCCCCCCAACTCCTGACCAAATCCGTTTCTTAGCTCGGCTAAGCATCTGCACCGCCCCTTCCCACTTGCTCCGCCAATCGCTTGTCT